GCTTCGCCAGCACCCGAAAAGCTTCATACGGTCGACCGAGGCCAACACAGTCCCATTCGTGGCATGCGGTTGTGTCCACGGTTTCTCCAGTTGCATTTTAGTTGCAATATGAGTCTTAGTTGCTCCCTCGATATGAATTCAAGACACATGGAGGTCTTTCCGTGGAATATTCAGGGTCCGTGGGAACAAGGCTTTCTCAGTGGTGGCTCCATGTTAAAGACAGCTGCTTAGGATACCTATCAGACCATTACGATGCAGAAGTCTATATAAATAAAAAACGTAATGTTCGTTTGTGGGATTAACAGATCTCAAAAGCTACTGGATGAATTGACACCAAATTTGGACACAAGGCCCCTAACAACCCAATGTATGTCCTTCACTAAAAAAAAAATGATTTTGTCATTTGGGAGTTGTAGTTGCTGGGATTCATAGTTCACCTACAATCAAAGAGCATTCTGAACCCCACCAACGATGGAATTGGACCAGACACCGCATACAGAACTCCCATAACCCACAGAAAAGACTGGAATGGTTTGGTATGCATTGGCCTTGAGTTTGGGAGTTGTAGTTCACCTACATCCAGAGATCACTGTGGACTCAAACAATGATGGATCTGGACCAAACTCTACACGAATACGCGATATGCCCAAATGTGAACACAGGTGGAGTTTGGGAAAAATAGAATCTTGACATTTGGGAGTTGTCGTTGCTGGGATTTGTAGTTCACCTACAATCACAGAGCATTCTGAACCCCCATGTGGGCCACAGCAACGCATGGCAGGGGACGGCTAGTAGGTTATATATTCTTAATTGATTCCCGCCCCCCCAATGGAACACCTTCGTAAATCCTCAACTGATGGCACTACTCGTATGTGGCAGGAACTGGCTTGTTCAGTAGACTCTCCTCTACAGTTCCATTTTGGTGGGAAGCCTTAGCATTGAACGGTTGTGTTGTTAAAGTGCGAGGTATGGAACCTTGCGAAGACGGTCGGTCAATGCGACAAATTGATTCAGGACGATCGTCGTATCACTCAGAGAGAAATTTCAAGCATAATTGGCATTTCACAAGAATGTTTGGGTCACATTATTGCTTGGCTTGGCTATCGGAACTTCTGTGCACGATGGGTACCCAGGATGCTGACGCCTGAAATGAAAGTGCACAGACTTTCTTCCGTGACGGCTTCAGAAAACTTATTCATTTTGGCAGAAATGTATCCAATTGTCTGGAGATTATGTGTGGGTCGCATTATTGCTTTGCTTGGCTGTTGGAAGATCTGTGCACGATGGGTACCCAGGATGCTGACGCTTGAATTGAAAGCGCACAGACTTCTTCTGCGATGGCTTCAGAAAACTTGCTCATCATTCATCAAATGTATCCAATTGTCTGGTGATTATGTGTGAGTCACATTATTGCTTCAGAAAACTTGCTCATTGTTGGCAGAAATGTACCCAATTGTCTGGTGATTATGTGTGGGGTCACATTATTGCTTTGCTTGGCTATTGGAAGATCTGTGCACAATGGGAACCCAGGATGCTGACGCCTGGAATGAAAGCGCACAGACTTCTTCTGTGACGGCTTCAGAAAACTTGTTCATTGTTGGCAGAAATGTATCCAATTGTCCGGAGATTATGTGTGGGTCACATTATTGCTTTGCTTGGCTATCGGAAGATCTGTGCACAATGGGTACCCAGGAGGCTGACACCTGAAATGAAAGCGCACAGACTTCTTCCATGACAGCTTCAGAAACTTGTTCATCATTCATCAAATGTATCCAATTGTCTGGTGATTATGTGTTGGTCACATTATTGCTTCAGAAAACTTGCTCATTGTTGGCAGAAATGTATCCAATTGTCTGGTGATTATGTGTGGGTCACATTATTGCTTTGCTTGGCTATCGGAAGATCTGTGCACGATGGGTACCCAGGATTCTGACACCTGAAATGAAAGAGCAAAGACTTCTTCCGTGACGGCTTCAGAAAACTTGTTCATTGTTGGCAGAAATGTATCCAATTGTCTGGTGATTATGTGTGGGTCACGTTATTGCTTTGCTTGGCTATCGGAAGATCTGTGCACGATGGGTACCCAGGACGCTGACGCTTGAATTGAAAGCACACAGACTTCTTCTGTGACGGCTTCAGAAAACTTGTTCATTGTTGGCAGAAATGTATCCAATTGTCTGGTGATTATGTGTGGGTCACATTATCACTTTGCTTGGCTATCGGAAGATCTGTGCACAATGGGTACCCAGGACGCTGATGTCTGAAATGAAAATGCACAGATTTCTATGTGATGGCTTCAGAAAACTTGTTCATTGTTGGCAGAAATGTATCCAATTGTCTGGTGATTATGTGTGGGTCACATTATTGCTTTGCTTGGCTATTGGAAGATCTACGCACTATGGGTACCCAGGATGTTGACACTTGAAATGGTGCATCATCCTAGTAGTGTATTTCAAATTTTACTACTTTCTGTTGGTGTCCTGGCTTCTTTGAATGAGCCACGGAAGACCACCAACGTCTGGGGACTGAGTCATTGGCCATAGGGCTTTGGAAGCCTCCCTCCCCACAGGCATCTGACTTCCGTGTTTTAGAGAAGGCTCAATAGAGTGGAAAGCAAATGAGCGGCAGGAGCCGGTGGTGTGAAAGACAACTTGGCAGGGAACACTGTGTTCTCGCCTCTCTCCGAGGGCAGCCTTTGCCATGTAAATGGGGGCGGACGGCTCCCCTCTGATCCAGGAGGGTGGCAGTGGGAAGGGGAGAGGGAAAGGGGCACAAAAGACCCTTTCTTGCCTAGGCTTTGAGGAGGAGGAAAGTCAGGGCATCGCCTTCCCGGCTTTCATCTATATAAATAAAAATGCAATGTTCGTTTGTGGGATTAACAGAACTCAAAAACCACTGGACGAAATGACATGAAATTCGGACACTACACCCCTAACAGACCAATGAGTGACCATCACCCATCCACCCCCCCAAAAAAACAGTGGAAAGGACTTAAAACCCCCAAAAGATAAATGACAATACATAAAAAAGGGAAGAAAGAGGGAGGGAAGGGAGGGGAGAAAGAAAGAAGGAAGCATGGAAGCAAAGAGCAAAGGAAGGAAGGAAAGAGATAGAAAAGAAAAAGAGAGAAAGAGAAAAAGAAAAGGGGGAGGGAAAGAAAGAGAAGGAAGGAAGGAGAGAAGGAGAAAAAAGTAAGGAAGGAAAGACAGAAGGAAGATAGAAGCAAAAAGCAAAGGAAGGAAGGAAACAGGTAGAGAAGGAAAGAGAAAGAGGAAAAGAAAAAAGGGGGAAGGAATGAGATAGAGAAGGAAGGAAGGGGAGAAGGAAAGAAAAAGGAAGGAAGGAAAGAGGGAGCGAAGGAAGAAAGGAGAGAAAGGAAAGGAAAAGAAAAGGGGGGAAGGAAGGAAAGAGGTAGAGAAGGAACGAAGGAGAGAAGGAAAGAAAAAAGTAAGGAAGGAAAGAGGGAGCGAAGGAAGAAGAGAAAGAAAGAGAGAAAGAGGGAGGGAAGAAAAGACAGAAGGAAGGATAGAAGCAAAGGAAGGAAGGAAAGACGTAGAGGAGGAAAAGAAAAAGGGGAAAGGAAAGAGAGAAGAAAGGAAGGAAAGAAGGAAAGAAAAAAGTAAGGAAGGAAAGAGGGAGCAAAGGAAGAAGAGAAAGAAAGAGGTAGGGAAGAAAAGACAGAAGGAAGCAAAAAGCAAAGGAAGGAAGGAAAGGGGTAGAGAAGGAAAGAGAAAGAGGAAAGGAAAAGGGGGAAGGAAAGAGGAGAAGGAAGGAAGGGAGAAGGAAAGAAAAAAGGAAAGCGAAGGAAGAAAGGAGGGAAAGAGGGAGGGAAGGAAAGACAGAAGGAAGGGTGGAAGCAAAAAGCAAAGGAAGCAAGGAAATAGGTAGAGAAGGAAAGAGAAAGAGGAAAAGAAAAAGGAGGAAGGAAAGAGATAAAGAAGGAGGAAAGAGAGAAGGAAAGAAAAAAGTAAGGAAGGAAAGAAAGAGGGAGCAAAGGAATGATTTTAGTCGCCCTCCTCTGGACACATTCCAGCTTGTCAATATCCCTCTTCAATTGTGGTGCCCAGAATTGGACACAATATTCCAGGTGTGGTCTAACCAAGGCAGAATAGAGCATGGGGAGCATGACTTCCCGGGATCTAGACACTATAGAGGCCCAAATCCCGTTGGCTTTTTTAGCTGCGGCATCACATTGTTGGCTCATGTTTAGCTTGTTGTCCACGAGGACTCCAAGATCTTTTTCACACGTACTGCTCTTGAGCCAGGAGTTGTAGACCATCATGTCTCCTCTCAGCCTTCTTTTCTGAAGGGTAAACATGCCCAGCTCTTCAAGCCGCTCCTCATAGGGCTTGTTCTCCAGACCCTTGATCCTTGGAGTCACCCTCCCCTGGTCACATTCCAGCTTGTCAACATCTCTCTTCAATTGTGGTGCCCAGAGTTGGACACAGTATTCCAGGTGTGGTCTAGCCAAGGCAGAATAGAGCATGGGGAGCATGACTTCCCGGGATCTAGACCCTATAGAGGCCCAAATCCCGTTGGCTTTTTTAGCTGCGGCATCACATTGTTGGCTCATGTTTAACTTGTTGTCCACAAGGACTCCAAGATCTTTTTCACACGTACTGCTCTCGAGCCAGGAGTTGTAGGCCATCATGTCTCCTCTCAGCCTTCTTTTCTGAAGGGTAAACATGCCCAGCTCTTTAAGCCGCTCCTCATAGGGCTTGTTCTCCAGACCCTTGAACCTTTGAGTCACCCTCCCCTGGTCACATTCCAGGTTGTCAACATCTCTCTTCCATTCTGGTGCCAGAACTGGACACAGTATTCCAGGTGTGGTCTAACCAAGGCAGAATAGAGCATGGGTAGCATGACTTCCCGGGATCTAGACGCTATAGAGGCCCAAACCCCTTTGGCTTTTTTTGCCATCACATGAATTTCAAAATGGTGCGGAAATGTCCTTGGAAGGCTCACATGGCTAATAAACCTTTTTTTGTGTGTGTCTTCAGGTGTGCCAAGCATTGGAGCGCTCCACTGATCCTTCCCTCCACCTTTCGCCGCTCGAGAGCCGCTATTCCACCCTCCGCGCCTACCATCAGGGCACCGTCACCGCCTCGCGCAAGAAGGTCCTCCCCATCGTGAAGGGCTTCCTAAAAGATTGGGAAGGAAGCCATTGCGCCGCCATGCAGCCCGCGGCCGCCAGCCCATGCCCCCCGCCCAGAGTGGAAACTAAAGGGGCCGAAGGACGGCGCCCGGAGCCCGACGGCGGAACCGCGAAAGAATCCTCCAAGCCCCACCGCTTGGGGGACGACCTGGTGGACGACGACACCGTCCTACCCCCGACCCCTATGAACAGCCTGGTGGACGAGTGCCCCCTCGACCGGGGGCTCCCCAAACTCTCGTCGGAGGCCCTCTTCGAGCGGTTCGACCGCCTCACGGCAACACGCGGCATCCCGGAGGAAAGCTCCGAAAAGAAGTGACGTCGAAGCCGAAAATACGGGGAAACCTGAATCCCGCGGTACCTTTCTTGACACAATTTCCTGGATTCGGAGTCGAGAGGCAAGAATTAGCAATGGACTCCTTGAGTACGGCAGCCTCTGTTTCCTTCTCCCCTAGCAAGCTGGGTATAGAGCAGGAAAATACGTCTTGCCATCCACAGCGAATAGCAGAGGGAATGTTTTTTTTTTTGAATGGCAGTGACTGTTGTGCTTACTAGGCATGGTTAGGTACCGTCGGAATCTTCGTAATTCGGAATAAAGTCGGAAAAAATTACCTTTTCGAAGCGATTTCGAAGTTTTTAGGAAAACCAGAAGTCCCTTTACCCTTCCAAAGCATTTTCCGCCATTTTTGTTACGATTCATGACGTGAGTCGGAAATGATTCAGCTTTCCCCCGCTTCTGGTCCCTGGCCTCAGCTCAAGCCTGAGAAGCCAGTTTTAAACCAGAGAAGGAAGGAATTAGAAAAGTCACAGAGATGCTTGCTGCCTCTGAAAATTTTTCAAACCTGCGTTGTGCTCCTTGTGGACCCACAAGTGAAGACTGTCGTATCTATTTCACAGAATTGTTCTGGAAGTGCATTTCTGGGGATCCATGTGTCACCATTCACAATTTATATTGTAGCTGTTACATATTCCTGGCTTTACCCGGTGTTGGGGCTGCTACCCACCTGCTTTCTCCTTTCTCCAGCTCTGATAGAACCTACTTTCTCCCTTATCTGGCTCTGAGAGGGCCTCCTTTCTCCAGCTTTGAGAGGACCTTCCTCCTCTGACTCTGAGGAGACTCCCTTTCTCCAGCTATGAGAAGATCTACATTCTCCTTTCTCCAGCTCTGAGAGGACTTCCCTCCTCTGGTTCTGAGAAGACATATTTTCTCCAGCTATGAGACCTACATTCTCCTTTCTCCAGATTTGAGGTACTTCCTTCTGAGAAGACCCCCTTTCCCCAGCTATGAGAAGATCTACATTCTCCTTTCTCCAGCTCTGAGAGGACCTCCCTCCTCTGGTTCTGAGAAAACCTATTTTCTCCAGCTATGAGAAGACCTACATTCTCCTTTCTCCAGATCAGAGAGGACCTCCTTCTGCTGACTCTGAGAAGACCCCCCTTTCCCAAGCTATGAGAAGACCTACATTCTTCTTTCTCCAACTCTGAAAGGACCTCCCTCCTCTGGCTCTGAGAAGACCTATGGAAAGAAGTCCTACATTCTCCTTTCTCCAGCTCTGAGAGGATGTCCCTCCTTTGTGTCTGAGAAGACCTATTTTCTCTATCTATGAGAAGACCTGCATTCTCCTTTCTCCAGATTTGAGAGGACGTCTTTCTGCTGACTCTGAGAAGACCCCCTTTCCCCAGCTATGAGAAGACCTACATTCTCCTTTCTCCAGCTCTGAAAGGACCTCTGTCCTCTGGCTCTGAGAAGACCTATTTTCTCCATCTATGAGAAGACCTGCAGTCTCCTTTCTCCAGCTCTGGGAGGACCTATTTCCTCCAGCTCTGAGAAGACCTACATTCTCCTTTCTCCAGCTCTGAGATGACATCCCTCCTTTGGCTCTGAGAAGACCTATTTTCTCCAGCTCCGAGAAGACCTGCATTCTCCTTTCTCCAGCTCTGAGAGGACCTGCTGTTTTCCTTCTCTGGCTCTGAGAAGGCCTACTCCCCCAATGTGGTTCTTTCCTTCCTTTCCCCCTTCCCCTCGTGCACATCCCAGTGACATCACAGAGGGCCACTTCACCTCGCAACAGCCTTTGTGGTACAGACTTTGATCTAGATAGATAGAAGGTGAGGGCGAACCCAGCCTTCTCTCGCGTGTTTGTGGATTCTGGTTTCTGGTGTGGTTCAAAGCGTGCTCGCATATATCTGCTAGAGAAAGTGAATAAAAAGTATTCCTATTTCGTAGAGATTTTGAAAACACTCCGGTGCCAATCCCTCAATCAGATTGTGTCTTTTCCTTGTTTATCGCTCAGTAGAAACATTTGCATATTCAAATCGACCCAAACATCTCGTCGTCGTATAGCAGACGGCTGTGCATATATTCCCCGCACCTAGAAATCACACCGGTTTCAAACCGGACATGCTAGCTTTCTGCATGCGAGATTGGCCCTCGGTCTGTAAATATTTTGATGTGTTCGTCAAGTTTTTTCCAACTCAGCGGCGCATTGGCCGAGATTATCTGGATTCGAAGAGTCCATTATTTCTCCCCCTATTTGCTTTCTCCATTGGGCTCGTGCGTCTGTTTATTTTACGTCTCCCGGCAGCCCGGCGGAAAATTAAATGTTTAACTTTGCACAGCTGAAAGGAAGGCGGCCGAGTAACAAGGCCCAAATAGCCGAGCTGTTGAGCAACGCCGGCAGCTTGGTTCCTGCAAAGAAACTCCTCTGAATTTGGATAAAGATGGTGAAAGCACTCGGCTCATGCTCAGAAGCCCTTGGTGCTTTTGTTGCCATCCTGTCTTCTGGAGTTTTAGCACTCACTCCCCATTTGGTGTCATTTGCAAACCTGATCCTCATTGCCTTTAAACTAGTGCAGTGGTTCTCAACCTGGGGGTCGCGACCACCAGGGGGTCGTTGCACCATTTTCGGGGGGTCGCGAAGCTGCCTTGGTTGGCCCCGCCCCCTCCAAAATGGCTTCTTCCGCATGTCCTTGAGGCTCGGGAAGCCTTTTCTGCCCGGCCCCCGGACCACCAGTGGTACGCAAGAATGAAAATATGGTCCACGGTCTCACTATTACTACACCCTTTCCTTGAAACCACGCGACAACGAGAGCAACTGTTCTCACGAAACCATCTTCTAGTGCCGAGGCAATGGGGATTTCGGGAGCGGAGAGGCTGACTACCCACAAAAAATTGCTACTACCACATCAGCTCTTGATTATTAAATATTGTTTTCTGTGGGCGACCACTGGGTGGTATATGTTCTGTATCAGAAACTAGAGCTGATGTGGTCTATCCAATGCAGTTTTCTGAATCAGCACCACAAATAACCAAACCAAATCTAAAGTTGACCAAAAACTGATTCGTAACCCTTTCGGTACTAATGTTGGAGAGTGGTCCCTGGTACAGTGGTCCCTGGTCAAGTGGTCCCGGGTCAAGGTGGTCCCTGGTCAAGGTGATCCGTATTCAAGTAGTCTCTTTTCAGGTGGTCCGTGGTCAAAGTGGTCCCTGGTCAAGTGGTTCCTTGTCAAAGTGGTCCCTAGTCAAGTGGTCCCTGTTCAAGTGGTTCGTGGGCAAAGTGGTCCCTGTTCAAGTGGTCCCTTGTCAAAGTGGTTCCTGTTCAAGTAGTCCCTGGTCAAAACAGTCCCTAGTCAAAGTGATCCTTGTTCAAGTGGTCCCTTCTCAAGGTGGTCCCTGTTCAAGTGGTCCCTTGTCAAGGTGGTCCCTGTTCAAGTGGCCCCTGTTCAAGTGGTCCCTGCGCAAAGCGGTCCTTGTTCAAGTGGTCCCCGGGCAAAGCAGTCCCTGGGCAAAGTGGTCCCTAGTCAAAGTGATCCTTGTTCAAGTGGTCCCTTTTCAAGGTTGTCCCTGTTCAAGTGGTCCCTGTTCAAGTGGTTCCTGTGCAAAGTGGTCCCTGTTTGAGTGGTCCCTTGTCAATGTGGTCCCTGTTTAAGTGGCCCCTGTTCTAGTGGTTCCTGGTCAAAGTGGTCCCTGTTCAAGTGGTCCCTGGTCAAAATGGTCCCTAGTCAAAGTGATCCTTGTTCAAGTGGTCCCTTGTCAAGGTGGTCCCTGTTCACGTGGTCCCTGTTCAAGTGGTTCATTGTCAAGCTGGTCCCTGTACAAGTGGCCCCTATTCAAGGTGGTCCCTGTTCAAGTGGTCCCCAGGCAAAGCGGTCCCTGGGCAAAGTGGTCCCTGAGCAAAGTGGTCCCTAGTCAAGTGGTCCCTGGTCAAAGTGGTTCCTGTTCAAGTGGTCCCTGGTCAAAATGGTCCCTAATCAAAGTGATCCTTGTTAAAGTGGTCCCTTGTCAAGGTTGTCCCTGTTCAAGTAGCCCCTGTTCAAGTGGTTCCTGTGCAAAGTGGTCCCTGTTCAAGTGGTCCCTGGTCAAGATGGCCCCAGGTACAGTGGTTCCTGTTCAAGTGGTCCCTGGTCAACGTGGTCCCTAGTCAAGTGGTTCCTGGTCAACATGGACCCTAGTCAAGTGGCTCTTTTCAAGTGGTCCCTAGTCAAGTGGTCCCTGATCAAAGTGGTTCCTGTTCAAGTCGTCCCTGGGCAAAGTGGTCCCTGGGCAAAGTGGTCCCTCGTCAAGTGGTCCCTGGGCAAAGTGATCTCTGTTCAAGTTAGTCTCTTTTCGAGTGGTCCCTGGTCAAGGTGGTCCCTGGTGAAGGTGGTCCCTGGCCAAAAAAAAGGTTGGGAACCACTGCTTTAAACCTTCCTCCAAGACTGATAAAAGATATCCAACAGCACTGAAAAGCCCAGGAGAGAAACCTCTTGCTGGCATGTGAAGAGTCACTTCTTTCCGGGATGAACCATTGGAGAAAAATCCCCTTTGGGTTTAGTGACACCACCAGATGCAAGGAAAGAATGCTGCCATTCTAGATTTTTTTCCACCCCATTTACACACATCAGAGAGGCTTATTTCCCACCGGAGGATATATATTTTGTTCCAATTTATCGAAGGAAATGGAACTGGAGTATTTTGACGACGGCATTTTTGGTGACGTCGTTCCCGTTTGTCATTTGTTTCGTAGTCTTTTTATAAATCACCAATTTTTAAAGATTTTTTTCCCTGCTCCTGCACTTTCTGTCATGTCACCTCTCCAAATCCAGGTGTTGTTTAACAAACAACACAACTCCCTATTTGTCATGGCATTAGGACCCAGGCGCCGTGACCGGGCTTAAGCCTCCGATGCTGCAGAACCAGTTCCAGGGTGAGTCAAGGAGGCCTTCGGCGCCGGTTTCGTGGGACGTCCCAACCGCTCCTGGGTCGTCTATTTGGGTTCCCGGAAAGGAACAGGAGGGACCCGGCACCTTTTCCGGCCCAGATGAGCTCCCAGGAGGCTGCTCTGCCGCCCGAAAGGTGAGTCCCTTCTACCTGGTCAGAGCTTGGTCCAAAGTTACTCCCAGGAGGATCTTCATTGCAAACCAAAACAAACCAGACATTTTCCAGCTTCCTACAAGTGGCTCGGATCCAATCCGTCTCACTTATTGCAGGGGTGACATTCCAGGACCTCCCGCGATAAGTGAAAAACCGCGATGTAGGGACGCTATATTTATATTAATATTTAAACATTATTTTAGTAGTTATACACTAAATCTTTCCGTCTCACTTATTGCGGGAGTTACGTTCCAGGACCTCCCGCGATAAGTGAAAATCCACAAAGTAGGGACGCTATATTTATTTGAATATTTAAACATTATTTTACTAGTTACACACTATTTTAAGTCTTTATAATCTTAAAATAAAGTGAAGGAAAGGAAGGGTAGGAGGGAGGGAAGGAGGACTGAAAAAGGAAAGCACCTCGGAGAGCGGCGTCGGCGGCAAAAACCCGCGAAACAGCGAAAATACCGCAATATATATTTCAAATTAATATTCTTTCAAGGCTGATGGGAGGGAAGGAGGACCGAGCAGGGAAAGCACCTCGGAGAGCGGCGGCAAAAACCCGTGAAACAGCGAAAATACCACAATATGTATTTTAAATTAATATTTTTTGAAAACCGCGAAACAGCGAGTCCGCTAGAAGCGAACAGAGAAGTAGCGAGGGAACACTATAGGTGAATGAGTGGATGGATAAATAACTGGATGGATGGGTGGATACATAGATAGATAGATAGATAGATAGATAGATAGATAGATAGATAGATAGATAGATAGATAGATAGAGATAGAGAGACAGACAGAGGGATTGATAAGCTAGGTGAACGGATAAATAGCTGAATGGGTAGACACATGGATATCTAGATGGATGGATGGATGGATAGATGGGTGGGTTGGTTGATAAGATAGGTGATATGACAAGGTGATGGGTGAATGGATGGATGCACGGATGAATAAAAGGATAAGATAGGTGAATAGATAGGTGAATAGATAGGAAAATGGGTGGATGGATAAATGGATGGATAGATAGATAGATAGATAGATAGATAGATAGATAGATAGATAGATAGATAGATAGATAGATAGATAGATAGATAGATAGATAGATCATCCGGAGTTTCGGGGTACGGTGTCATCTGTACGCGGATGATGTCCAACCCTGTCACTCCTTTCCACCTGCTACTAAGGAGGCTGTCCAGGTCCTGAACCGGTGCTTGGCTGCTGTGACGGTCTGGATGAGGGCGAGCAAATTGAAATTGAATCCAGACAAGACAGAGAGACTCCTGGTCAGTCGCAAGGCCGAACAGGGCATAGGGTTACAGCCTGTGTTGGATGGGGTCGCACCTCCCCCTGAAGACGCAGGTTCGCAGCTTGGGTGTGATCCTGGACTCATCGCTGAGCCTGGAACCCCAGGTTTCGGCGGTGACCAGGGGAGCATTTGCACAGCTAAAGCTTGTGCGCCAGCTGCGCCCGTACCTTGGGAAGTCTGACTTGGCCACGGTAGTCCACGCTCTGGTTACATCCCGTTTAGACTACTGCAACGCTCTCTATGTGGGGTTGCCTTTGAAGACAGCTCGGAAGCTCCAACTAGCCCAACGCTCGGCAGCCATGATTTTAACAGGAGCGGAGCGCAGGGAGCATACAACCCCCCTGTTGCGCCAACTCCACTGGCTACCGATCTGCTACCGGGCTGAATTCAAAGTGCTGGCGTTGGCCTTTAAAGCCCTAAACGGTTCCGGCCCAAGCTACCTATCTGACCGCAGCTCTGCCTATGAACCCACCAGGAGTTTGAGATCTTCCGGGGAGACCCTGCTCTCGATCCCGCCTGCTTCTCAAGCTCGGCTGGCGGGGACGAGAGATAGGGCCTTCTCGGTG